GGATATGCTCAAAAGGAGGGAATTGATTACAATGAAGTGTTTTCTCCAGTTGTAAAATATTCCACCATTAGAATTATGTTGGCTTTAGTAACACAATTGAATTTGGAACTAGTTCAGATGGATGTAAAAACTGCGTTTTTACATGGAAACTTGGAGGAGGAAATCTACATGACTCAGCCAGAAGGATTCAAAGTTGCTGGAAAAGAAAATATGGTGTGCAAACTTGAAAAATCGTTGTACGGATTGAAACAATCTTCTAGACAATGGTACAAGCGATTTGACGAGTTTATGTTGCGGCAAGGGTACAAGAGAAGCAAATACGATCATTGTGTGTATTTGCACAAGCTTAAAGATGGTTCCTTTGTATATCTTCTCCTATATGTTGATGATATGTTGATAGCTTCCAAGAATTCGGAAGAAATTGATAAGTTGAAGATTTAACTGAAGAAGGAGTTCGAGATGAAGGATCTGGGTGAGGCAAAGAAAATTCTTAGCATGGAGATAGTAAGAGATAGACGTTCAAAGAAACTCTGTTTATCTCTGAAAGAATATTTGATAAGAGTACTACAACATTTTGGCATAGATAAGAAGACTAAGCCAGTTAGTACTCCACTTGCTCCCCATTTTAAGCTAAGTACTACTATGTCGCCAAAGGATGAAGCTTAACGAGAGTATATGTCAAAGGTACCATACGCAAATGTTGTTGGTAGCTTGATGTATGCAATGGTCTGTACGAGGCCTGACATTTCACAAGCTGTTGGAGTTATTAGCAAATATATGCATAATCCCGGAAAGGAGCATTGGCAAATTGTGAAGTGGATTCTACGATTTTGCGGGTGACCTGGACAAACGAAGATCAACTACTGGTTATGTGTTTACTTTTGCAAAGGCACCAATTAGTTGGAAGTCTACTTTGCAGTCAACAGTTGCTTTGTCTACAACAAAGGCAGAGTATATGGCTATTACAAAGGCTGTGAAGGAAGCAATTTGGCTTCAAGGATTGCTAAAGGAGCTTGGTGTTGAACAAAAAGGTATCACAATTTTTTGTGATAGTCAAAGTGCTATTCAATTAGCGAAGAACCAAGTTTATCATGCAAGGACGAAACACATTGATGTTCGGTATCATTTCGTACGAGAAATCATAGAAAAAAGTGGAGTCACGGTGAAGAAAATTCATACTACAGAGAATCCTACTGATATGCTGACAAAAGTGGTGACTGCGGTCAAGTTTCAACGTTGTTTGGATTTGACCAACATTGTTGAACACTGAAGATTGAAGATGAAGACACAACCAAAATTTGTTATTAAGAGAAAATTGAAGATGTAGAATTTTGCCAAGGTGGAGATTTGTTGAAGTTGTCAAACTCCTACATCGGTTGGGGAGAAAAATTGTTGGGATTTTTCCCTTATAAAAGGAGGCATAATGTTTAAGATTTAAACACACCTCTCATTTGCCTTTTTATCTTCTTAAGACATTTGTATCTTCTCTCTTTAGTATTATTTCACTTGTATTTTTGGAGTGGAATAAAATATTGGTTGTGTCCGAGGAAGTAGGAAAAATTGGCCGAACCTCGTAAATTCTGGTGTTCCTTTTATTGTTGCTTTATTGTCTTATTTATTATTTGATGGCTGTCATAATTTTGGATATAATAATTGTGACTCATTCACACTATATACATTTGGCTTCTGCAACACCCCTTACCTGTCTTCATCCTATGTCTACAAATATCGGCAGATGTTAACAAATCTACCTCCCTCTTTCTTTACATGTATATTACGTTATATATGTATCAAGTCATACTACAATTATAGAAGATCACGCCTGTTGTCAGGTAGCAGTATTTTAATTTTATGGTTCTGTAGTATATATGCAAGTGTGCAAAATTGCAATATTTAGAGTCCCAAGGAAAAATTCTTAAACTTGTGTTCTTTCATATCTTAATTCACTCGACCCACTTTCTCTTTTATATGTCCCGTTCTACTCAATCTTTAATTCTTTTAAGTTCCCTACTTTCCCTTTAAATTTGGTAAACTATTAGAAGATAACTTAAATACGATAGCACACAAGCTTTTCCTCTTTGAATGAAACTGTTATTAAGATTTGTTTTCCTAATGGAAATGTTGGTGTATAAAACAAAGTCAAGAACCTTTACCTCGACTCTATTGATACTACAGGCACGCAGCTATTACTTTCCCTTCCACTGCTGAAGAAAGCATTGAGTTTATTAGTCATACTAAGCAGAGATTGTAACTCAGGTGGTGTTGAAATGATAAATAGAAACACAAAATATATAGGTTGTTGAAAAAAGGTGATACTTTATTGTATGTCAGAATTCTCTGTTCTCTCCTTTTTCTGTCTTTTACCAACTATTAATCTTTATCTTTATAAATCACCGAAGATTATGTACTCATTCTTTCCATAATATTCCTCTTCTCTTTCTAATGATGAGTTTCATTTTCCAGATTGCTTTGGAAAGGTAATTGGTTCATACAAGAGAAGAGCTGTAAGATTCTGTCTTTGATAGTGAGGTAATAAGGTTATGAATCCCTCTCATGTCAATGATTTCAAAAGACTCAGAAGATTTGAATGATATATGAACTGATATAACTTTGTGTTCCTAATAATTACAACTCCAGTGCCAGGCCAAAAGTTCAGAATGGTGTTGATGCTAATGGAGACGCCTCAGGTTCAAAGAAGAAACTCACTACTATCGAAGATGTTCTGACCGGCCTGGTTGATTGGCTTTGTGCACAGGTTTGTGTATATTCCTAGATTTCCACTTTTTCTTCTTCCTCCGTCCCGCCAATCCTTCAAAAGTAGTACATTTTTGGAGGATCCGACATGGGTGCGACAGTATTTTAGGGAGTGCGTGCAACATAGCCTGCAATTACTGGGTTTGCAAACATTTCAAGAAGGATTCAGTATATCTTTAATTGATTTGGAAGTACGTCACAGAGGGATAGTGTTTCCAATAAAGGTCGTAAGAGAAAATAAGTGGTGAAATGAAGTAGCCGATGGATGAAAGGCGCTAGAAGCCTAGGACGATGAGGTGTGCGGATTAGTAGTTTAATGTGTATGAAGCATTGAAATAAGTCCATTGAGTAGGAAATCAAGCTCATTTCCGGACCTCACAACAGGTTTATGGCCTATTTCTTCACTTTCAATGTAAATAATTGAGGTCTCGGGTTAAAATTTCAGCTGAGACAAAAAATTCTAGGTAATTTTCCCATCTGTTTAAGTCTTGATTGACAAAGTTACTTAGTACTTGGTGCGGGTGAGAAGTAGCAGGTATCCCATGGAATTAGTCGAGGTGTGCACAAGCTGGTCCAGACACCATGANTCTTATTATCACACGGCCGATACTTAGCACTGTGTCGATCATGATTTTGATGTATCTATGCAGCTGAAAAAGCCTACCCATCCTACCCGTGGCATTCCCGCGACAATCAACTGCTTAGCAACTCTGCTGAAGGAGCCAGTGATTCGATCTTCATTTGTTCGAGCCGATGGAGTGAAGTTGCTTGTTCCTTTAATTTCACCAGCATCAACGCAGCAGTCTATCCAGATTCTTTAATGCCACATATTGCATTAACTTCATAAATTCTATTCATGTCGTACTAGTAAGTAGCAGTGCTTGAGATGGTTCTGTATCTCATTCAGTGTATGCAACTCCGGAAGCTAGACATAAAAGAATAATTGTTTTCTTTTTTTCTTCCTGATTTTATTTTCTTCCTTAAAGCAACTTCTCTACGAGGCATGTCTATGTGTCTGGCTATTGTCTTACTATGAACCTGCAATAGAGTACTTAGCTACTTCAAGGGCCCTCCCTCGATTGATAGATGTTGTTAAAGGTTCAACATAGGAGAAGGTGAGCTACTTCTGTTTCTTCATCCATAATAACAATTTCTACTCCCTACTTTATTTCTTAAATTTGATGTTTTGCTTTCTGCATTGGTTTTCCTTGGCTCATCTCTGTTCATGGCCTGCGGTGTTTCTATAACTATAGGTCGTACGGGTCGTCATCTTGACTCTACGGAATTTGCTCTCCAAAGGATCATTTAGTATTCTCATGGTGGACTTGGGAGTGCTGCAGATTGTTCAGAGCTTGAAAGCGCAGGCTTGGAGTGATGAGGTGATGAACCATGTTCTATGGTTTATAATCTGATAGTATATCTTAATTTATCTCTACATCATTTGCAAACAGAAAACAGTTCCATCAAAAAATGAATTGAGACAAATGAATGCCTCGCATTTGTTACATAGAGAAACAGTCTCTAAATATCATATTTCTGTTTCATTTATCTGCAAATTTATTGCTGTCTTCAATCATCATTACATGAAGAGAGTCGCTATGTTATAGCTACTTGCTCCATTCATCTCAGTGATTTGCTATATTTTGGCAGTTTAACATGTTACTGTGTCATTGAAGAATGAAATATTCTTCGACTTCAGACTCATAAAGTTAATTACCATATCTGTAGGATCTTTTGGACGCTCTGAATCAACTAGAACAAGGATTGAAGGATAACATCAAAAAGCTGAGTTCGTTTGATAAGTACAAGCAAGAAGTCCTTCTAGGCCATCTTGATTGGTCTCCGATGCACAAAGATCCTATATTCTGGTGCGAAAACATAAATAGTTTTGAGGAGAATGATTTCCAGGTAATACCTTGTGAATTGCAAAAATTCCCAAGCTTACATGTCTTTAGGCTTTAAAGCACATGTTCCATATCAGCGTGAAATACAACACTATCTTGGTGCAACATTAACAAATGCTTTTCATCTGAAGAACCAGACGTTTCTCCTGGGTTCTGTTGGTGTTCGATCATTTACTTGCCTTTACCAAGTTTTTGTGCCTACTCAAATCAAAAAGCTAGTTTTTGATTGTCATGTCTAAGTACTAACTTCCATCTGTAGAGGTAATCTGGTGGCCATAGAAGCGTTCAGTATCGTAACATAATACTGTTTTTAACTTTAGAGAGCGAATCTTTGAATATGTAGAACAAAGTTGTTTCTAATACTATATAAGGGGTCGTCTGGTTCAGTTCTGGGATATCCCATGGGATTATCTATCCCACCTCCCATATAGGATAAGCTAATACCACCATTTTGGTATAAAATGTATTACCTAATACCCACAACCAAACACGGGATAATTGTAATCTCAAATTTTATACTGAGATTAGTATCCCTGTCGTGGTAACCAAACATGGGATAAGAGTGTAACGCGTGATGTGTAGGTTAGATGCACGTCACAAGTTCGAACTCCATCATAAACAAGAGCCTGGTATTTAAGTGAAGGGTAGAGGGGCAAGTCCATTATCTACCAACTTTTGAATCGCACACCCGATTGGGTCTCGGGGATTTCTCGGCTATCACAAAAGGCGTCCTCCGGATGAGATTCTCATTCCAAATAATGTTTACGAGTTATTTTATTTCTCCCTCCAATAAAAGAAAGTTTGTATCGACTTGTTTATCGAACAAGGGAGTTGTTTTGTGATATATACTATCTGGAAATTGTTCATCAAACTACTTATTAATGTGAATTTTTTGCAGCTTGAGTCTGTATTACTTATCAAGGCTTATAATGTAGTGATATTATTAGGAGTCTTTTGCACAATATGTGGGGTCAAATGTCACTGTTACTGTTCTGTTTTTCCTTTCTTGATCCTCTATGTAATAAAAGGTCATGTATTCACGCACGATCGGGGAAGAATTAGGTGTAATGTAGGCAATCTACTTTAATGTAAATATTTAATGGCTACTTTCATGACTCTGGCTCGAACCTATGATCTTCTATGTAATAGAAGTAACAAAAAGTTGCTGTACTTCCATTAATATTTTTCATCTCATGGTGGAGGAAATGGAATAGAGAGAAGGAAAGAAATATATGGAAAGAAACTATTTGATTTATTCCATATTGTTTTATATTGTTGGCGTATAAAGTTAAACTATTTTTAAAAATATCTTTTTGAGCAAATGGGGTGACAATCCAACTGCATGAACACTTAAGTGAAGAATGTCATTTACTTTCTTTAACATATCTCTAGAACTACAAAAGATTGGTTTTAAAAGAGGAATTTTCATAAAGCACTATAGTTTAGAGACTAGTAATTATAGTTTGCCTAATTATCATTCGTAGTTATTGCTCAATTGTTATTAACTTGCATCACTTGTATTCAGACGCACAACGAATAAAGCTTGTGTCAACTGTATTCATTAGCACAACAATACATGTATCAATTGTATTCATTTGCGCAATTATATTGTATTCATTTGCGCAATGAATATAACATGTATCACTTGTAACCAAGGCCAAATACAAGGATGTATACAAATGATACAACTTATATCGTGTATAGTATTTACGAAGGATACAATATGTATCAACTATATTCTTTCGTGCAATGAATACAATTAAGGCGAAATACAGAAAAATAAGACTCTTGTTTCAGTTCAAAACAATAAATCTTGTGTTTCATGAGTTTGCTATAAAATTAAAATATAGCTACAAATAGTAAATTTGCTGAAATTAGCTAAGAATGATAAATATAGTATAAATGTTTGATGTGTCAGTAATTTTCCTTTTTAAAAATCATCCCACGAAAAATTGAACTTTCTAATTTCTGTGTCTTAAATCAAGTAGACAAACATTTTTTCCTACTTATTTTGATTTAACATTAAAAGAATTTATTTTCCTTGGAATATTCAAATATGATATGAGTGTTAAAGTTGGAATCTCATTGCCAGTCAAAAATATTGATTATGAAATTTGAATGACAAAGTTTACTTACAGAGAAAGGGGTGCAAATAATAAAAATAGAACACCAAAAATCAATATAAAAGTTACTATAGAGAGAAAAAAAAGAACAAGGATTAATACGTTCAAAAACTATAAATATAAATAAAAAGGATTTTCTTTCATAATAAGCAGAAGCAAACATTCCTAGAAACGAAAACTACTTTAAAATTCTTAGAAACTAAAATAACTACCAATCTAAGGCCTCATTTGTTTTTTTTTTTTAAAGATTAAGACATCTGAATACACATCTGAATATCAAGATGTGTATTAAGATTAACACATCTGAATCTAAATACACATCTGAATATATTAAGATGTGTATTAAGATCTGAATAGAAGTAATTAAGACTGTTTGATTTTTAACATCTGAATGTATAAAATTTATCTTTATTTGAAAATTAATAAACATAAAATTCAAATGAAATACTAACTAATCTAATATTCTATCAGTAAAATATAGTAGTTTTTTAAAATATGATAGTTGTTGGTGGTGATGGCTAACGTGTGAATTCGACTAGAGGCGGTGGTTGGTGGTAGTTTTGGTTGATGATGGTGGTTCATGCTAGTAGCTAGTAGTGATTGGTAATGATGTCAATTATGATTAAGGATGGTGGTGGTGGGTGGTGATAGCTAATAATTGTGGGTGGTGGTAATAGTTGTGACTGAGGAAGGTGGTGGGTGGGTGGTGGTAGGTTATAAGATGGGCAGTACCAGCTGTAGTTGTTGATGGTAAAGGGATGGTCAGTTGTGGTAGTTGAGGTAGATGAGTGTTGATTGTGGATGAGAGAGTGGCGAGAATAGTGGGTGGTGATGGTTGATAATAGTGGCGGCTATGATTGAAGATGATGGTGGCGTGGTGGTGGCATGGTGGTAGTTGATAATGGTAGGCGATGACAGCAGTTAATAATGAATATGTGATAACATTTTAATGAAATTAAGTCTCTGTTATAGATGTTCATCATACAAACCTATTTAGACCCATTAAGTGGTTGTGAAGTAAAAAACAAACACACTAATGATTACGATCTGAATAATTAAAATTCAGGCTTTAAAAACAAATGCATTTAATGTCTGAAATCTGAATGATTGAGATTCAGACCTCCATTAAGTGCAAACAAATAAGGCTAAGTTTGTATCTTGTGACGACGGTGAATCAGAATTTTGCGTAGTTTCTACTTTCTTGATTGCAATATATAGGTTGAGAAGTAGAAAAGTGCAAATGAGTAAAAGTGTGAAAACTTTTCTTAGCCATGTTTAATAATAACAAAGAAATTTAGGGTTTGTATTCTAAGATGAATTATGAAAGTAGCTATAGTGAGGGTTTATATAGGGTTGTAAAGGAAGAGATTCATATGTATTAGGAGAATTATTAACTAATTGGATAATTGATTCTGATTTATGTCAATCATTTCATAAGTGAAGTTTGTGTACTAAGTACTAACAGAGTTCTGGAAATACATGTAACTTTAAGATTTCTTTATATCTTCATCCAACTCTTTATAATGTGAAAAGAAAATAAATAAATTTAATAAAATGAGGATTTGTTTGGAATCAACTTTTATTATCTACATGTTTCTACTAATAATCGATTCTCCATTTATACGAATGTAAATATATAGTTTATTTTGATTCGATAGCTTATTTGGTTCGGATTTTTTTTGCTTAATTTAATCCTTTGCTAAGTTAAATAAATCATATACTTCAAGTCTTCAACTAATACACACATGCTTTTAACAAAAGATTTTAATCAGAAAACTGATAGTGTAATTATCACTTTGTTTAGAAAATTAGGAACAAATATATTATTTGATGTCATTATCCTAAAGTTTAGATTTCATAAAGTTTAAATCATGGACATCCATAAGGATATGGAACTTGGAACCTTTTAATTTTATCACAAATCTAAATTTTCTGATTTATGTGAATCGTAAGTGAAAGTTTAGTAATAACAGAATTCTTAAACCAAATAAAATTTTGTCAATCATAAATTACGTTTTGGATTTCCACATCACCGTGTCAAAATATTTATGTAACATTCCGAAATTAAGAGTTTTATATAAATTGAAACAGAGAAAAGTACCCAATTTTGCTCTTTACCAAGCTAAAAACCATTAAAAGAAAATGGATAATTCATGTTAAAAGGAAAATTAAAATAGTTAAGTTGAGTCACAAATATTTCTCTTAGAACTTCTGCAGAAACAACAATTGAATTCCATAATACGGAGACATTCTTTTAAATGTATTGTTTCTCCTTTCATTTTTTGCGAAATACCTTACCACCCCTAAACTAGACACGGATTATTAGTTACATCCTTAAACTATTTGTGGTCTTATTTACCCCCCCCAACTTGTCATTTTAAGAGCCAGTACCCCTGTACGCTGATGTGGTAAAAACTGTGGGTGCACTCGCCTGCCACGTGAAGTTTTCTGCATATATGGCATTTTTTTTTTTGAAAAATAAAATATATTTTTACCTTTTTAAGTATGTTACTTTTTTAGATAATTTTTTTTTTCGAATATAATTTATAATAAAATTTGGATAGAACTACATTATTTATGCTAAATTTTTTTATTTGGCTAAAAATAATAATGTTTTTATTTGGCTCTAAGTTATTTCTTGCAATTACACGCTCTTTTTATTTGTCAAATTCAAAAAAGGATTAACTGCAACTTTATTATTTTTAGCCAGATAAAAAAATTTAGCCTAATAATGTAGTTCTATCCAAGTTTTATTATAAATTGTATTCGAATTTTTTTTTATTAAAAAGTAACATACTTAAAATGGTAAAAATATATTTTATTTTTCAAGAAAATACCACATATGCAGAAAAATCCACGTGGCAGGCGAGTGCACACACACTTTTTGCCACATTAATGTTCAGGGGGATAATGGCTCTCAAAATGCCAAGTTGAGGGAGGTAATTAAGACCCCGAATAGATTAAGACTGTAACTAATAATCTCTGTCAAGTTTAAGGGGGTGATAAGGTATTTTGCCTTCATTTTTTGTTT